GCAGGGGTCGGTTGCTCGGCTGCAGCGTACACAGGGTCGTCACGCGAGTTTTAGGGATTGCACTGGGAGGGTCTTAAGGGGGAGTCTCACGGCTACACAGCATCTCTGCCAAACCAGGAGCCCCAATCTTAGTGCGGCCAATACGAAACTAGTCAAACAGTGCGCTTTGGGGCCGGTCTGGCAACAAAACTGCAAGGCAGCTCTCTCATTTGTGAATGAGAATGGCGTGTAGAAGCCTGCCAGTTGAGCTGGGTTCAGGGACCTTGGCGGACGATGACGGGGGCTATTACAGTACTCCCCCTTTCAACAACAGCGTCTGTTGCACATGTCAGGCTCCTTAAAGGGCATCGAAAGCATCAGGCTCAGATCAGCTTAAGAATGCCAAGTGTCAGGAAACCCAGGAGGAAACCCTCGGGACGCCTGGGCGCCGTGAAATCCAGTAAATTGCACACATGCCTTCGAGATGAAGCTACTCTCACGGCACTAAGAATAACTCTAACTCCTCTCTGCCACCCTCACTCCTAACGGTCCGAAAACATGTGGGAAGTCGTCCCAAGCAGATTGAGAAGGGATCTGCCTAGATCCAGCATGTTGACCGGGCCTGTGGGTTGCTCCCTGAACTTACAGGATCTGCGAAACCTCTGCCCAAGACCCGAGGTGCATAGCTTCTTGCGACAACGCGGAAGGGGCGTGACGGAACACATCTTTCCAGACCACGCCATCCAAAGCAGCCAGCCATCCCTGTCATGGAGCAGGCACCTGTAGTTACTTGAAGCATGAGTGTGTCCTCCTGCCACAAAAATGCTTCTCTGCTGTCTCTGTTGCTCGCCCTGCCTGCGCAGGCACACATGGTTGTGCCATGTTGTGCACACTGAGGTCGTCCGCATTGAAGGTTCAGTCGGGGAAACTATTTTTGCCATAAGCCAACATGTGCATCTGTAGCTTGCTCCAGGGCAGTCGCTTGACGAAGCAGAAGTCGCGGAGGGACCTCAGGCTAACTTCTGGAGTGGAGTGGTGGCCGCACCTTCCTTACAATGCCTCAAAATGGCCCCTGCACGGCATTGCTCGCGAGGTCCGAGAGTGTATGGGAGCCTGCTGCAGCCTGCTGGAAGGCATATCGCTCGAAAACTAGCACGTTGTGTTACCTGCATGGTGGAGACTTGCCGTAGCACATGCCACCGAATCCCTGCAGACTTCGCCGATTTTGACACGGGACCCCGACCGCTTGTGAAAAAGAACGCTCTGAAGGGGAGCTTGGCGCGAAACTGAAAAGCAGCATAAACATGAATCATTGGGCCTGGCTTTGCTCGAGTGACGCCACTGTATTGGTCACGAGAGTGCTGCGGGTGCTGGACCCCAAAGCATCCAAAGCCCTGTAGGATGCGTCCCTGCCAGCAGTTGCTGGTGGAAGGCCGTGCAAATTCCAAGTTGCTCGAGGTGTCTCGAGCTTTGGCTAGCTGTGCATTACCACTTTATCTCAAATGTCAACAGTCTACTGAAATCTACTAGGATGCCTCCCAGCAGGAAGGCTTTTACTGGATGACCGGCCCTAATCATTCGCAAGCTCTGTCCATTGGCCCACTCACACGCGCCGCTGACGCGCATACGCTGAAGGCGTACAATGCATACAACCGTCGGCCGCGCATCCCTCAGGCCCAGCAAGGCTCAGGGAGGGAACGAACGCCCGAGCGTGCCCAGGCAGCGTCGCCAGCGGCGGCACTGTCACGGAGGGCTCTCGAAGTGAAGGTAGGCAACTGGGAGATTCCTTTATTGGTCATTTGCGGGGAATTCTAATAAGGATTCTTGCAAAAGGCCTACCAGATGGCTGACCACTCGGGACTTGTGGCATCTCAACATGCCAGCCTGCTGGAAGGCATAGCGCTCGATAACTAGCACGTTGTGTATCCTGCATGGTGGAGACTTGCCGTAGCACATGCCATCGAGTCTTCGCAGACTTCGCCCATTTTGACACAGGACATACAGGACCTCGAACGCTTGTGAAAAAGAACGCTCTGAAGGGGAGCTTGGTGCGAAACTGAAAAGCAGCATAAACATGAATCATTTAGCCTGGCTTTGCTCGAGTGACGCCACTGTATTGGTCACGAGCGTGCTGCGGGCGTCTGGACCCCAAAGCATCCAAAGCCCTGTCGGATGCGTCCTGGCTTGCAGCAGGGGAATCGTCTCACGTGCTTGCGAAACACAACGCTCTCAAGCGAAGCTAGGTGCGAAACGGAAAATGAACATGATTCATTTAGCCTGGCTGTGCTCGAGTGACGCGAGTGTGTTGGTCACGAGCACGCTGCTGGCGTCTGGACCCCACAGCATCCAAAGCTCTGTCGGATGCATCCCTGCCAGCAGTTGCTGGCGGAAGGCCGCAAGCCACAGGGCAATCGCTTCACCAGACAGGGACCTCAGGCTAACTTCTGGAGTGGAGTGATAAGCCGCACCTTCCTTACAATGCCTCAAAATGGACCCTGCACGGCATTGCTCGCGAGGTCCCAGAGTGGAGTGTATGGAAGCCTGCTGCAGCCTGCTGGAAGGCATGATGCTCGATAACTAGCACGTTGTGTAACCTGCATGGTGCAGACTTGCCGTAACACATGCCACCCAGTCCCTGCAGACTTCGCCCACTTTGACACGGGACCTCGAACGCTTGTGAAAAATAACGCTCTGAAGGGGAGCTTGGTGCGAAACTGAAAAGCAGCATAAACATGAATCATTTAGCCTGGCTTTGCTCGAGTGACGCCACTGTATTGGTCACGAGCGTGCTGCGGGTGTCTGGACCCTAAAGCATCCAAAGCCCTGTCGGATGCGTCCTGGCTTGCAGCAGGGGAATCGTCTCACGTGCTTGCGAAACACAACGCTCTCAAGCGGAGCTAGGTGCGAAACGGAAAATGAACATGATTCATTTAGCCTGGCTGTGCTCGAGTGAGGCGAGTGTGTTGGTCACGAGCACGCTGCTGGCGACTGGACCCCAAAGCCCTGTCGGATGCGTCCCTGCCAGCAGTTGCTGGTGGAAGGCCGTGCAAATTCCAAGTTGCTCGAGGTGTCTCGAGCTTTGGCTAGCTGTGCATTAATATCTGTTGTTGTTTGACACCACTTTATCTCAAATGTCAACAGTCTACTGAAATCTACTAGGATGCCTCCCAGCAGGAAGGCTTTTACTGGATGACCGGCCCTAATCATTCGCAAGCTCTGTCCATTGGCCCACTCACACGCGCCGCTGACGCGCATACGCTGAAGGCGTACAATGCATACAACCGTCGGCCGCGCATCCCTCAGGCCCAGCAAGGCTCAGGGAGGGAACGAACGCCCGAGCGTGCCCAGGCAGCGTCGCCAGCGGCGGCACTGTCACGGAGGGCTCTCGAAGTGAAGGTAGGCAACTGGGAGATTCCTTTATTGGTCATTTGCGGGGAATTCTAATAAGGATTCTTGCAAAAGGCCTACCAGATGGCTGACCACTCGGGACTTGTGGCATCTCAACATGCCAAGACACCAGGGGCTTCTGAGGCACTAGGCCCCTGATGTCTGCTGTCCCGCGTTCTGGAAACTTTCACCATGTGGCACCGTCCCGAAGTGTCCCTCAGACCAGAACAAGCTTAGCTCAAAACGGCCGATGGTTTACAGCGACCTATACGCCCTGATGCGACTCCAGACTTGTCTTGACTAGCGCCTCGTATGTGTGCGGAGTGCATGGGGGCGGGTAGGGGCGGGAAGACTCAAGCTCAAAGATGTGCGGCGCAATCCTGAATGCCACTGCTGCATGCATGTTGCTGCAAATCGGCTTGCCGGGATCGGGCGCAACAAACCCCTCAAAGTGCCTCAGAGCCTAGAGCATTAGCCTTTGAGCTTCAAAACGCAAAGCACCTCAGAAAGCTGAAGCCAAACACTCTCTGTTTAAGGCCCAGCAGGGGTCGGTTGCTCGGCTGCAGCGTACACAGGGTCGTCACGCGAGTTTTAGGGATTGCACTGGGAGGGTCTTAAGGGGGAGTCTCACGGCTACACAGCATCTCTGCCAAACCAGGAGCCCCAATCTTAGTGCGGCCAATACGAAACTAGTCAAACAGTGCGCTTTGGGGCCGGTCTGGCAACAAAACTGCAAGGCAGCTCTCTCATTTGTGAATGAGAATGGCGTGTAGAAGCCTGCCAGTTGAGCTGGGTTCAGGGACCTTGGCGGACGATGACGGGGGCTATTACAGTACTCCCCCTTTCAACAACAGTGCTGCATGACCACAAGCCTGCCAGCCTGCCACGCACCAGGTTCACGGCTTGTGTTGCAGCATGGATGTACAAGCGGGCAATCTCCTTCGGAATCTGTAAGGCTTACCACCTGGGGATCAGCCTTGCAACTTTTGGCCTGACAAAATGCTGCGGGCGCTGCGCCGCTCAGGCGCAGATGTGAAGCCTGGGGCTTCCTGGAAAGCGCTAAGTGTCGCGTCAGGCGACATGTGACGGCGGGTGAGGGGCAGAATTTCGCGCCAACGGCGCAAACTCTTTCGCTCGAGGCCAGATGTGCAACTTGTCTGCACATTGCAGCGCATGATGGGATATCCCAGAATCTGGTGCATGTGGAGTGGCACCGAAGGTGCCCTCTAGCACTCCACGAGCGCGCCGTCTGAGTCTAAACCGTCTGCACGCAAAGAGCGAAGTCACAGCCCGAGGCCTGCGCAGTGCCATGGCCCCCGGCCATGGCCATCCCGGCCATCCCGGCCCGGCAACCCGGCCTCACTCTTGGGACTGGGACGGCTGGGACGGCTGGGACGGGAGGCAAAGGCGAGCAAAGGAAAACATCCGCGGCATCGGCATGGAGCGGTTGCAAGGTTCTGGCCCTGGCCCGCGCTAAGGCTGGATCAGAGGCCGAGTTACGGCAGTTGTGCACAAGACGAGAGCGTCTCGGAAGTCACGGGGCCGAAGCCGCAACAAAAACTATTTCGGAACCTTCGTGAGAGCAGAACCCATACACTTGTGACTCGTGCAAAGTAGCACGGTTCCGCGGGCCGATGCACTTCTGTATTTCGGACAAGGTCGCCCTTGGGTTTGTTTACATCCGGGGAAAACGCATCAGAACGAGCGACGGGCAGGACCCCGACACCGACAAAACGGCGACGAAGGCCACGAAGGTTCGACGGGCTTCGCCGGATGCTCTGTGCCGTTCCCCCGCAACCTCCATCCTGATCGGTTTGCCCCTGATTGCAGCGAAGGCACACCTTTCGGCACCGCCACGCCGGTCACTACCGCACGGGTGGTGGGTGTGCATTGCCGTTGCAGTCTGGTCGCCTAATAGCCGAGCCATGTTCATTTCCAAGATTGTGGTGTCTGGGTTGCCCTGAAAAAGTGGTGGCAGCATGTTCTGGCTGGCCAAGTACCTACATGGAAATGCCCTCGATTTTGGACGTAGTAGCCAAACATCGGAAAGTGGTAGCCGAGCTCCTTTCTCAAAGGAACATGTTTACATCACAGCGCAATCTGGACACTGCCATTGCATACTTGAGGGTACCACTTTCAGACTTGTAATAAACCCGTGGCTGGCAGTCTCGGAAAGGGGTACCCTCAGCTCGATGGCCTGCACTGCCTGGCAAAAATACGTGAAGAAGCGATCTTCGGCAGACACGCGCAAGGAGTTCGCAAAACGGCAGCGACGCCGAGCGAGACTACTGAGGATAGGGTAGGTGGACGAAGGGCAAGGAACCGCCTGATATTCCGGTCACTCCGTCGCAGACCAATCTTCAAGATCGCTCCAGTCCCGCATGTCTAGGTGCACAGTAGGCTGAAAACGTTGGCGGGGAAGCCGCCGAGCATGGAACAAACAACGCTCTGGCCATTGAGCGGGTGCAACTTTGCTGAAGCATCGGGTACGAGATTGTCATCCGCCTCTGAGTGCATTTTCTCAGCGACATGGTGCGACGGTCTAGGGCTTTTCGGGTTTAGGGTTTGCGCTCATAGCCGATCATCTCGAGCTGACGTCACCTTGATGATCATCTGCTTACAACTCTCATGTCCCATAGGCTCCAACGTTGACGCCCATGCCACAGACAGTCTGGATGTCACAGGCATTACATGCTTCAGGGTACTACTTCCATGGCGCACAGGTGGCATGCGCATGGGCTAATTGCGAGAGAAGCTTTGAGGTACCAGTAAGGGTGCGACGGTAGTGATCTCTTCACCATGCCTCAATCTGCGTGCGTTCAGTCCGATCCTGTCCGCTTGCCCACGGGCGAACACTGCTCACTGCTCAACCATTTCAAAACCACCTGGGTGAAAACTGGGAGTGTGCCGGAAGCAGGCTCATCATGATGCTGCTTCTTACTGTCCGAGTGCATTTTGTCAGAGTTCTGGGGCTCCCAGGCACTTGAGGACTCACTGTACTCACATACCCAAGTGCAAGAAGTGTGTGCTTAGAGTTCTGGACAAATCCAGAGTGAACTCATGTGAACTGCAAATGCCAACCGGGGTTTAGGGCTCACCTGCTCACCGACTCAAACTGAAAAGCAAAAACCAGTGTCTACCATGTGACTCTGCTCGACAGGACATGGTTGCAGCAGCCAGCCAGCACGCAAGCGGGCCCGCAACAGAATTAGAGACGCAGAGAAGCCGTCGTTTGATGGATACGGGCGGACGCCAGAATTCTGCCTTGATCTCGCCATGCCCGGGACGCTCATGGGGGTTCACAGAGGTCTGTATGCAGCTGCAGGTCTCTCAGCTCGAACTTGGAGTGCCCATATACAGCCCAACAGTCACCATGGGACAAAACGACGGAAGCAAAACATCTATGCATTGCAGGAGACCCGGCTGCCTGGGTGTCCAGTCCAGAGTGACTGTGGTCATGCTACAGTCAATGCGATGTGCCTTCCTTTGCCAACTTTTTTCCAATCTCACGGCTGAGACATGCAAACGTTTGACACTGCTCAGTTGGTGTACCCTCCCTCTGCCAGAGCTGGCTCATAAAAATGCCAGAGTGTGGTCGTGTCCGCAACGCTCTCGCTTTCATGGCCGCTGTACTCAGGAGATCTTGCGATAATGCAATTGGTGTGACGGTGGAGGTCGTGTCTCCAATGTTCTCGCTGCTATTGCCGACTTGGTGAGGCAGCGCATGAATTCTAAAGGCGCGAGCTTGTCATTTCTCAAAGGTCGGTTTGGCACTAAGCTCAAGTGGCTTTGGTGGCTTTGCAAGGTGCATCTCTGTCACGGGCTTCTACTTGCTGCAAGAAAAACGCAGAGATGAGTATGCAAAACATGGTGTCCATGCCTTAGACCAAGAGAAAGCTGGAACAACTTCCGCTGCTTTCCCTACATAATATGTAGGGAAAGCAGCGGAAAAGCTGCTATTAGCAGCTTAGGTATTGTATTTGATGCTTGTTTGCTTCTTTGTGAACGGAGCTGGAAGAAAGCAAGTCTTGACAAACTGCTTCGTTCTGACCTGCCAGCAGTAAAGGCACGAAGATGAGGCCGATGGGTGAGGAGGCGAGGAGTCGCAGTAAGCTGGTTGGGTAGAACTTGACACATCAGGACCCGTCGGACCCGAGACCCTACCTCCCTCCATTTACAGTGGGGGATTCGTGGCAGCCAACGTCCTGAATGGGCTTTTGTGGGCTGCAGGTGAGACGTCTGCTGGTTTAACTTTGGGCCAATGGGGTTCCCGTGCTGACATCGACGCCCTACATGCATCACACGAAAGGGAAGCACATGAAGTCCTCAAGCTCACCCGATGCTCCGTCCTAAACGTGGGACACCGTCAGTCGTAGGTTTAGGTGTTGCCGCCCTCAGATGCAGCGGTGGGCTTGTGTTGCGCGGCCCTCAATAGCAGAGCCATGGACAGACGATGCAATCAGATATTAATAGAGGGTGTACAGACATGTAGACGTCGAAGACTCTGTATCTGCTTGATATCCTCTACAGAGGACGCCACGGAAATCTGGAGGCGCAGAATTGCTAACAAGGGAAAGTCTGAGCTCTGACTGGTCCATGACGTTGAGGCACTGGCCGGAATCAAAGTAGATGCATTGCAGGGAACGCAGAATCGAGCTTCCTGTCGCAGGTTGTCAGAGCGTCGCATGTTAAGTCAGTAGTCGGTTCTCTTTCATGCTTTGCAAGAAAAACAAGGTGTCGGCAACGAAACTCTCTTGACTGTGTCTTAGCATGGGATGCTGCAAGTGCTGTCAGGGAGATCCTGTGAATCAGACTAGGGTTTCGATGTAATGTAACGTATCTGAGACAGGACCAGAGAAGCAAGACAGCACTGGCAGGCTGAGAGGAACCACGGGAAGCACGATTGAACTTTGTGGCGGTTGGCATGCCGCTCACTGCACAGCAAACGTCTTCCTCGGGAGTGAGGAACTCGAGGCAATCGAACCACCAGCCACTAGGCTGTAGATGTCATTGTTGGTTGTCTAGCTGCTTCCGTACCTGTAGTACTGCTTCTGCGTGTGGGGAGGAACTTTTTTCAGGTCAGGTCCGGCGTCGGCCAGGCTGGTGCAGCGTGGATCGTGCTACTGCAGGACGAGGCCGTGGATTGCCACCGGCAGGATCATGCAAAGTCGCCCTGACATGTGCACGTGCATCGCTCGCCCGTCAAACCAGGCCAGGATATGGCTTTTTGGATTCCAGCACGAAGCATGTCTTGGAGTTTTGGTTTGCATGAGCCCGGGAACTGTGAATGCCAAGCCACGAATTCCCACAGACTTCCTTCAGCGACGGCTGCGAATCAGCAACGCCTAAAGCAAAGGTTCATTTCTCGCGGAAAGCCTTAAAGAATCACTTCTCGCGAAAGCCTGGGTCCCCGGCAAGACCGCAATTGGCAACAATGCCCCAATGGATTTAGGTATAGACAAAAGGTACCGGTCCCTGCAGGGAGGTATCGACGATGGCTGTACCGTCTGTCTGTACAGCTGGCCGACGAATGATCAGTGTCACAGCTTTCGTGGCTTCGGCACGCGCACATGCCTCTTTGAAGGGCCCGATAGGCCCGTCCGGACAAGCAAGAACCCTTACTTGAAATACCAGGCAGGTTGTTTGTGTGTGAACGCCAACAGGGGCTCTGGAACCATCAAGCAAGTCTCAGGAACTGTTAGAACCCTGTTCAGAAACAGCCCCACACCGTCCGGAACCGTTCCGAAGCGTCGGAACGATAGTAAAGTGCCGATCTGAGCTTCAAATTTCGAAGCACCGAATAGGTCTCGAGATTGATGTCACGATTCTTGAGGCCAGAAAACCCAAGGACAGACACCCTCTATTAAACAGACCAGCAGCGATTCCAGACCCTTACTACTTAGTAACAACTGGCCTCATTCCCCCAAATGCCAAAGATACGCGCATTCTACGTGCAGGAACCTCATATGATGCTTCCTGGTGGAAAGGTGAGAAGGGCTGCCGTAGAAAAAAGGACAGGGAAGGACGGCTTCCCGACATGGAACGAGAGGGAGAGAGATGGACAAGTCTTGGTTCTGGTGCCGCAGGGCTGCAATGTTCGCGCAGAAAGACTATCCTTTGCAAAGATCCTTGCTTCAGCTCAACGTCGCAGGCGCCTGGTTCGTCTTCTAGTGATCTGGTGCTCTATGGCACCAGCATGCGGAAGCCACGCAGGAAGTGCAGACTAGCTGCTTCTAGATGGAGTGCGGCAATCACGTCGCGAGGAATGCAAGGTGGCGTGCTGGGACCTCACCAGGCTCGCATCGGGACCAAAACGCAGAGCTGCCTTGGCAGCAAAGGTTGGCACTCCAGCTGAGCGCTGCATCAGCCTCCAAGGAAGGATCGATTCAGAGGCATGGGACGCAAACATCGGAACTGTAAGGAAGCCATCGGCTGCGCACTCGGTGCACTCGATAATAGGCGCGTGGTGGCCCTGAAGAAGCGGACTACTGGACACAAGCGGCAAGTTCCAGCCCCAGCGAGTGACGAGGTGACAAAGGGCATGCGCACAGAATCACCTGGCCGCTGGCCATCTTTGGGATCGAGCAAAGCTCGACAGCCCCCTCCATGCAATCCACCCTACTTAAGGGCAGAGGAATCAGGAAAAGGTGCGAAAGGGAGTCTCGAGCAAAGTGAGCATTGGCTGTTCATCCTGAATGCTTGACCTCTTTAAATGAAACGGACCTGTTCAAGGCTTTTTGGAGCTCGCTTATTCATGTTGCTGTGCGCCGCTAGGGGAACCTGTTTGCAGTGTTCTATCTTTTTGTTGGGTCGTAGAAATCTGGGAAACGACAGGAACCCCCTCGGCCATAAAGCCGCGCGCCCATAAGATCTGCAGCGCGTCGGTCTGACTCAGATGGCCAGGCGATTCTGTCCCGCCCAGGTTGTCCACGCCGGGAGTCTTCGGGGCTTGGAGCCCTTGGGC